TGAGCTACATATGGTGATGCTACGCGTGTGACCGTATTTTATGAGGATTCAACTGGCATGCAGTGCGACAACTGCAAAGGTTGGTTCCACGAAGCATGCACAGATCTGAGAGCAACTGCTCACATCAGACTCAGCAAGTCAGAACAAAAGTGTGTGTGTGTCACGTGCAGCACGGACGCTGTAGTCTTGCTGAGTAACATCATTGTCCTACTGACAGGTCTTCGGAACACGTTGTCAGTTAACTTGGATAACGATAGTAAAAAACCGGTAGACAAACAAGAGCGTGCGACGGACACAAAAATAGAGATGCCGATAGGTATACCACCGAAGGAGCATCCGTCAACACTAATGATGACGTGTCGAGGCTCAGCACCATCATTACGTCGACGGTACTAGACTCCTTAAGCAAACTCGGGTCTCCCAGCTTAGGGTCCCTGAACACAACAGTGGTTCCCAAAAACCCTGTAGGTGATTCGACCCACGTTAAGAGAGCCGAAAAGAACCAGACATCACTGCCTAAGCCGAGCAACCCAAGTGTTGCTGTACGGAAAATAACTGGTAATTTGGTCGCACAGTCTACCCCCAAGACTGCTCGTCCGGTCAACAAAGAGCCCAAGACTCAAAAACGCCCACTGACTTCCAAGCAACAAGTTATTAAACCTGAACCCATCGTGAAACCTGGTAAATTAACAACAGTTCGTGACGATTCTCTCATTATCATGAACCTCGTTGACAATCCTGACCTTCCTCTCAGTCTGCAGGACAAAAATGACAGGATGCTCTGGGGTGAATTGAACAAGAAGCTTGAACTTCCTAGAATAGAGCCTTTGACGGTCACCCGGCTCACTCGAGGAAAAGAATTCTAAGCATCTAAATCACCCGAGGCTTCTCCGAGTAACACTTAAGAATGCTACCGACGTAGAGGACGTCTTGCTAGCAACTCACTTGCTGAAATCCGATGGTAACGTAAGGATATTGCCCGACATACCGTACTCTGAGCGCAGTATCATACGGAACATCCCTAAAGAATCTCGCGAGAAGTTTTTCCGCGGAAGAAACATAATTGTGCAAGGTATACCGCAAAATGCAGACCCTACTCAATCAAATTCTGACATCAGGGAATGGAAACTCATCAGACAGTCCTTGAGGCTCAAACACATACTGACTCAGCATGTGACGAGACTGGCCAAGAAGGACGGCGATCTTAGACCCCGTCTAATGAAGACAACCTTCCCGTCTTCCTGTATGGTGGCTGCAGTTCTGGAAGCATTTCGTGCCAACAGACGTCGATTGCCACCTGGAATCTGTAGAATTATGGTCTACTACGATATTAGTACTGCTCTAATAATAGACCTAATCCTAAATTTGTAGATTCGTCATGATATAACTGCCTAATCTTTAAGATCTTACGTGGAAGTCACACCATCGACTACGCCAACTCACTGTATCGTATCAATTACCAATACATGATGAAGAACCAGCTTAGTTTAGAGAAGGAACAATATATTTAATATGAATAGAGACCACGCCTGCATGGCCGAGCCATGCCACTCGATCAACCCCAGTCAATTCAATTCATTCTTCGCGCCTTCTCCATTGTTGGGTATTTCCCCGAGTTAAATATTGAATATCTATTTTCTGAGTAGTCTCGTGTTCACAGCTTTGTGGATTGTGTGGCTATTGTCCAATGCCACTACACTACTCTCCCACCAGAATCAACGTGATGTTGGTTCGATACCAAATTGGATGGGATCGTCGCGCGCCGGAGGTTACCAAGGATAATAAGAATCCTCCGGGTATTGGTAAGCTGAAAGATAAATCAAAAAGAAAGGCGGCAGCATCTGGTCGGGAAATACATGTAATAATTTTTTTTAAAATCTGCCTTCATGCTTAACACACTTAAAATGACAATTTGGGTGAAGATTATTTGAGCTATAAAAAAAAATGGGATTACAATAATAATAATAATAATAATAATAATAATAATAATAATAAAACGATGCGTGTTAATAACTTAACTTATAGGTAGTAATTATTTTGTGTTTAGAAATATTAAAATAATGAATATTGTAGAAATGTTAATATTGGTATTAGTTTTGGTTTAAATTATGAAATCGGATAACGATTATGCCGGTAAGTTGTCCATAAGAGTTGATTTCCAATTGCATCTGTATCAGTAGGCTAACTGAAGGAACAAAAGTATTACCATGGTAAAGAATTCCAACTAGTGTTCCAGTTAGTTTGATACGGTTTATTTAGTTACGGGGAGATTTTCTCAACCTCATTTTTACTTGACCGTGATAGAATCTGGTAATACTACTAATACACATGAATGGTTACCAAAATAAAATTTAAATACGTGAGTGATGATTATATGAATTTTGGACAGATAGCTAGGAACAAATCGTTAAACATGAGCGTATTCGTAAGAGACATGCTCTAGACTCAATGTTCTGATCTGTGGCAGACTATTTACTTGTATTTATACTTGCCGAGTGATTGGACATACAAGTTAGTTGCAAGTATGCAGTTTATCATAAGGCGGAAAAAGATTAAATTGAGATATAGTGGTTATAGGTTATTAAAATCAGTTAGGCCTGTGTCATATTACGAAGTGATGTGGTGCCGCAGGATGTATTCGGCTAAATAAGCTTTTACAAGATGATTAACAGTGAGTGATGCTCATGTGATTATCAGGGAGAACATAAGTTGTAACCAGGGGGAGTACACTCCCAACTCATGTCTATGATAATGGCTTGAACCTTAGTCAGTGTTGGGGTAAATTCGACATTGATGTTTTCAGTTTGCAGGAGATTTGCTCGACTGCTTATACTGATTATTTGCATGCATGATTGTGTCGTTAAACCATCAATTAGACTGACAAGGTTTTGAGATATTTATTGAATGAGCAACTGATAGAGAAACATACTGTAATCATCTGTGATGGGTGAAGATACCAAGAAAACAACACCATTTAATGGTAATTATAAGTCAATTTGTTGACCGATTTCGTTAATAGTTTCATTAATTTTATCAGTCATATTACGTGATTGTCAAGTTATGACAATGCTTTATGACGATATCCTGAAACTATTAAATTTAACTAGTTATAGTGTTGATTAAGGATTAGTCAGTGGAAAAATAGGTATTGTTGCTTTAGGTGATTCAAAATCATCAGATATTTATAACGTTAAAGAATCCGAGACGCCTAATTTAATTATAAATTTCAATTCAGAAGCATTCGTTTAGTGTTCATTCTAGTAGGCTACGGAGTTTTGATTTTAAACGTTTGTTTAGCCAACAGCTACTTGGGGATTTAGTTATGTTACTAGTGCAGTTGATAGTACCTAAATTTTTAATCTTATTATCTAAACTATGTTCGCATTTTAGGCTGCTAATATGATAAACCAATCCATAAACCCAAATACGATTAGCAACAACGACTATGATGGGTTTATTGATAAATGTTAAAGGCGATCCAGATGATTTCTAAATTTATAAGACATGGAGATATAGTGCAACGTATGTATGGGCCAGGTTAACATGCAGGTTGTTGACGTATATGACGATTTAAAAATAATGAACATGACCAGAAAATAGTTTTAAAGTTTAGACTGCTTGTGAAACTTCAGGCAGGAATATGATGCGTTATAAACATTCCATAAGAAGTTACTGCATTTAGCCTAGGGACACTTACAAATATATAGCAAAAGGAACCGGAAAACATATACATGTTAAGTAAAAAAAATCATCCAGTAAAATAGTTGAACTCGCCTGGGTTATTTTTGAAAATTAGATTATTCAGTGGACGACATATATAAAGCCATTCGTGAGGAGTAGTGATGATCCATAAGTATCCAGAATAAAACATTCAGTATGGCAATTAATTCCATGATGCTTGATGCTGTTGACGTTTTTGGGACTCGCTCTGATCAGAACAACTGAATGAATCCAGATAATTGTGTGTGCCATTGAATGAGCCATCTAAAATGAACTTATGATTGCAGAAAACTTATAGCTGGAACTCACCGTATGTTTTTGGAGTAGTCATCCTCGTTGTTTGGCAATGGAACTCGCGAATATGAAATTAGGCAGGCAGTGGTCGGAAGAAAAGATATTACAGGATAGTGCGTAGTTTAAAACAGGATGAGGTGTTAAGTGAAGGAACAGTGAGAATTAGATCCAGATAACTATTTAGTCCTTGATTGCATTGTTAGTCAATGTATATTTACGCTATTTACAGGTCATATTTGCTAGAGCTTGATGTTTAAACAAGACTATGTCACTGAAGCATGTAAATGCTATTACAGCTTGTTAACAAACCATCAAAGCTAATTAGTTAATATAGACGACCAGTTTTTATTATCGATTGAGCTAGTTTGTCATGAGGACTAATCAATATAACATTACGATAATGCATATGAGCATTAATCAGAGGACTATTAGCATACAGGGTTAACATAAATATAAAATCGATCGAGAAAGTTGGAGTGGAAATAAGGATTAATAATAATAGGTTGCGTTTTTCTAGTCGGGCTTACCAATGTAGAATTATGGTCTACTACGATATTAGTACTGCTCTAATAATAGACCTAATCCTAAATTTGTAGATTCGTCATGATATAACTGCCTAATCTTTAAGATCTTACGTGGAAGTCACACCATCGACTACGCCAACTCACTGTATCGTATCAATTACCAATACATGATGAAGAACCAGCTTAGTTTAGAGAAGGAACAATATATTTAATATGAATAGAGACCACGCCTGCATGGCCGAGCCATGCCACTCGATCAACCCCAGTCAATTCAATTCATTCTTCGCGCCTTCTCCATTGTTGGGTATTTCCCCGAGTTAAATATTGAATATCTATTTTCTGAGTAGTCTCGTGTTCACAGCTTTGTGGATTGTGTGGCTATTGTCCAATGCCACTACAAATCCACATGCACCCTGATAGGCCATATGAAGCTAGGACCAAACACAAAAGCAAGTTGGAGCTGACCATTCCACTTGTGGACTGTCTAAATGATAAAAAAACGTGTAAAGGACAGGGCCTACCACCTCGGGAAACCTCATATAGGTGGGCTACCTGTCCATTCACATAAGGCTCATACAGAAAAACAGGACGAAGCTCATGCGTTCCAAATTGAAAGCATAAACTGCCTATATATGAACGCCGCGAGTCTACCAAACAAACTGGATGAATTACGTGAACTTAGCAACGCTAATAAGGCCCATCTGATAGGAATATCTGAAACCTGGATATCTTCTCAGTTCTCGGGCCAAGAGTTAGCATTACCTGGGATGACTTTGTTCCGCAACGACAGAAAAACAGGAATTGGGGGCGGAGTAGCCATATACATAAGCTCTTTCTTGGAGGTGCACCAAGTTCACAACCTCGAGTTTAACAATCATGAGGAATCCATATGGTGCTCTGTAAGATTGTCTAGTACTTCGAGGTGTCTAGTCGGAGTCATTTACAGGAAGCCAACTGCCGACATCGAGTACGATAGTCGTATGCTGGAAGGACTATCCCACTCTACCCGTCTCGGTTTCACACATATCCTGATTCTAGGGGACTTTAATCTCCCTACAGTCAACTTCGCGGAACACACGTAGACTGGAAGCGACAGCTCAATTGAAGCTCGGTTCTTCAACCTCATCGATGACTTGGGCTTATATGAAAATGTGAGGTCGGTAACTCGTTGGAGAAACAGTCAGGCACCATCGCGCTTAGACTGTGTATTCACAAACGAAGAATTCCTAGTTGACAACCTCTCAATCCTGGCTCCTCTGGGAAAGAGCGATCATGCAGTCATAGCCTTCAGTTTTGTCATTAAAACTAAGCTAAGGTATCCCAACGATAATTTGCGTTGGAATTTTAAACGGCTGAATGTGCCAGTTCTACATGACTATCTACAACAGGTGGTTTGGGATGTTCACCCTCAACTCGACGTGGACGGTCATTGGGACTTCCTACTGCACACGCTCCTATGTGCTACAAACCATTCAATTTCTCAAACGGTTCCCAAAAGCTGCAAGCCACCTACAGTAATCAAGAACCGTACCCTTCGCCTGCTAAGCCGCAAAAGGCACTGTTGGGCAGAATACAAACGAACTGATAACGACGGAGCGTATAGGCAATATAAACATATAAGGAACATATGCACGAAGGCTATAAGAGAAGACAGGCTTCAGTACCAGACAAAGCTTATGGACAAATTTGCCTCTAACCTCAGAAGCCTATTCCGCTATGCAGCCTCTCTTCGTCAAGCCAAAACAGGAGTTTCTCAACTGGTAGGTCTTAACGGCCCGACCAACAACGATGGCAACGCCGCTGACCTTCTTGCGGCACATTACTCTCAAACATTTCAACCGGCTGACATCAACTTTACTGACGACAGTTTCATCTGCAATTCCACAGGACTTTCCGAAGTAGACCTAAGCGCTGACTTGGTGTTCCGGAAATTGCAGCACTTAAGATTAGATACTTCTCCTGACCCGGATATGGTTCATCTTACCATACTGAGGGAGGCAGCCTCAATCCTGGCAACGCCGCTTAGCGTGATGTTTTCACACTCGTTAAGCCGAGGCAAATTACCGGAAAATTGGAAGTTGGCTCACATCACACCAATTTTCAAAGGTGGTCGACGCAATGAACCTTCAAGTTATCGGCCGGTAGCTCTTCTGTCATTACTTTCAAAGCTCATGGAGTCCCTGATATGCGACGGTTTAAACGACTATCTACTGTCCTTAAATTTCTTCTCAACCCAACAGCATGGTTTCAGGAAGGGCTACTCTTGTATAACCAACCTGCTGACTGCGGTTGACAGATGGACAAGCATCCTCGATCGCAAGGGAAAGGTTGATATCATTTACCTTGATTTCTCAAAAGCTTTTGATAAGGTTAACCACTTGTGTCTTACGAATAAGCTCAAACGACTAGGTATCAAACCACCTCTAATCGATTGGGTAACTTCATACCTAAAAAATCGACACTTTAAGGTTGGGGTTAATTTCACTTTATCTCAGGCTATGGAATGTCCTAGTGGGGTCCCCCAGGGCTCAGTACTAGGGCCTCTTCTCTTCTTGATCTACATAAATGATCTTTCTCAACAGGTAACGTCAGACTTACTACTTTTTGCCGACGACGTGAAACTTTGGAGAGAGATACGCAACCAAGACGATATACAGGCACTTCAGGAGGATCTGACTCGACTTCAAAGTTGGGCAGACGATAACGGACTTACCTTTAACACTTCAAGGTGTAAAGTAGTCCATCTGCAACATGTTGCAAACTACAGTTACAACTTAGGAAACTCCTCTCTAGTAGTATCCCAAGTCGAAAAAGATTTAGGAGTCCTGGTGCCCCATGATTTAAAGTCTTACGCTAACTGTGACAAAAATGCCTTCCGAGCAAACCTTGCACTGGTAACGTTGTAGCGCATTTTTGGACAGTTTGACGGAAGGACTTTCCATACAATCTTCAATAGTTTCATCCGTCCCCATTTAGAGTACGGAAACATAGTACTCCCTCTCTCACTCCAAAAGGACAAGGTCACTTTGGAGCGTATCCAACGTCGAGCCACGAAATCAGTTCGAGGACTCAAATCTTAACCTTACGAAGAGCGCCTCCATTCACTAGACCTTTACCCATTAGAGTATAGGCGTCTTAGAGGTGATTTATTAATGGCTTATAGTATTCTTAACACATCTGGACATCCTCTTAAACACCTACTTAAGCTTAGTTCGAATAATAACCTAAGGGGTAACACCCAGAAACTGGAAACACAACATAGCAGGACGGAATGTAGACACAACTTCTACTCCTTAAGAGTTGTCAAAAGCTGGAATTCGCTGCCGGCCGAGCTAGTCCAAGCGACTTCTCAGGAGCCCTTCAAGAGGCAACCTGAACTATTCTTAAGGACCAAGGACAGCATCACACTATGATTCACCAATTTCTTTTCCTCTTTTTTTGTTAACATACCTAGGTTCCTGCCTGGAGGATTTGGTGATCCCCTGCTACTAGACACGGAAGCCTGTTAAGCGAAAGCTACTTTTATTCCGTCCACAACCATTTGAACCATTTGAACTAATTTCTTTTTCCTCTTTATTGTTAGCATACCTAGGTTCCCGCCTGGAGGTTCTGATGATCCCCTGCTACTAGACACGAAAGCCTGTTAAGCGAAAGCTTCTTCTATTCCATCCACAACCATTTGTACCATTTGATTGAGTTTTTAGCGCCACGTTTCACTTTGTACGCCACCGTAATGTCTTACAGATCTCAACTTGCAGAAGTAGATTTAGGAAATCTGCTTATTGAAGATAAGTGTCCTTTGAACCAGTTTAATGAAGGTATGTCACATAATATTAAGTCATACCACCAACATGGCAGTTTCGTCTTTAGATGATGATCACTATAGAACGATTTCTCTCGATTGCACTCATCATTTTTTCAAGCTATTTTTCGAAGTAATTGTATTGTACTTTCACGGTTTATTTCAGCTACCGACGGAATCAAATGATTCTGTATCTGTTTCCATTGTGAGTGATATTTATACCTCTTATTGCTGTCTTATCGTCATCAAGTTTGGAAATGTCATCCCATTTTCAGTTATTATTAGTTTCTAGTTACTGATTTTTCTCAATTATCACAAAAAATCATGTTCGGTGCTTATTTTCAACTAATGACTAACAAATCTGGTTCACTTTTTGCCGTTCTACTTAGACTCAGATTCTGATTTGTGTATTGAGGCGAGAAAGCCGACGGTCTGTATCAGTCTTTTCCTAGTTAGCCCCCGTAAGTTCTTTGTTTGCTCTCGAACAAGCCATGGGTGTGAGCACTACTCCATGTATTAAGTTCCAAGAGTCTATGACGCTGTGAGGAAACTTGTATCCCACATGTATTTTGCTCATTGGCTTTTGAACTCACCTATTAAGTCTCCCGAGTTTTCTTTTTCTGGTACAATCGAGAGGGTGTTTTAGCCCTAAATTCGTTTACTGGCATTCTGTGCAGTCAAGACAGATCAACTCTTAGGAAAAAAGTCCAACTTGTCAAGCTACACTGTGTGATAAGCCTCGATATTTAGAAGTTGCATGGGTAGCTGTTCTCTGTACTTTTCACGAAGTATCCGAATCTTAAAGTCATTTTCAAGTTTAGATCTCACTATGGTTGTGTATATTATGTTGAAAAACATGTGTATCCAAATTCATAGACGTCCGTCTTAACGCCCATAGGATTTTGAACCCCTTAGCTGCAACCGCACGCTGGTGTGTCGTGGCTCACTTCTACCTCTAAATCATTGTGAGACGACACTGAGGGCATTGACGCTTCCTTGAAAGTGAAGTTATTAACGTTATGTTTCAAATGTGCATATTGACACACTTGAGTTCGTTGATAGGCACCAACCACAATCTAGACCAGGTAACGAGAATGTCTAGGTCGACCTGAAATGTACACATTGCCCCTCATTATTTCTCGCCACGATAATCTTTTCCTGAAACGATGTTGTTCATTGTCTAACAAGTTGGTTTCCATAAGCGTTATAATGGCCTTTTTGTTCATTCTTTCTAGTATTTTAAGTATGAAACTGGTTAGGCTAACAGGTCTGCAGTCTGATGAAAGTTGTCTTAATCCTGTTTCTTAAATCGGAGTGACAGTCTCATCCTTCCATTCCGTTGGTAGCTCCCTCTGGTTGCGTGATAAACTGAATGTCGTTGTGAATGAAACAGGTATGTATAGTGCAATTCTAAAATGTAGCTCATCCTGTTGATTTTTCGTGTCTGAAGAGCTTGATTTCTTCAGTACACCGTCTTGATTGAAGTCCACAGTTATTAGCTGACTTATTGACACTGTTTTTTGATCTAGTCTTTGGTCGAGAGAAGGCTCATGGGTGTAGACTGTCCTGAAGTAATCGTTCATAACTTCTGCTTAGTCTTAGTGCTCTTGTATCATTCTAAATGCACTTTTTTCCTTGATTAAACTGGTGATCTATGGGTGTTGTCATTCAGTAATTGATATATGGAAACAGTTGCTTTGGCTACTTGATTGAAGTTTGTGCCAATTGATTCTCATATTTCAGCCGAATTGTATGAATTGTGTTCATGCACTTATTTCAGATCGACCTGTAATGTTTCACAGCATTTGTTGCACCAAAACTGATGACGACGTCACAGCGTCTTCTACCTTAGTAAACGTCACATCTGGTTTGTTCAGGGATGGATGTTTTTTTCCAGATTTTCCAGAGTATAGATGGATGAGTATGGCTTCCGGAACTGACTCCCCTTCTCTCCTGATACACGGGTCGATTTTCTAGTTCTTATTCAAGGCTTCAGATTTGATGACCCACATGTTGCGACTAACTTCGACTCCTGTAATGAACATCTGTCAACAAAAAGATTTTTAAATTCCGTAATTTAAGAGTTTCATTACTCTCCAAAGTCTATATATGGACCATACTTTCAATGTTTTTTACAGCTCCCAAAACCTACTTTTCGTCTCCCCAGAGAGAAAAAGGTTGGTGCTTCCTTTGTCCTATAATATACTATCTAGATCCCCTCAACCAAAGAACTTACTAGATGGGACAGATTTGCACGCTTAAAGGGGATCCAGAATCGTAAGAAGTCCCGCAAAGTTTGGGATCCTGTGTCTGAATCATGGAAACCAAGGTGGGGTAAAGACCGGATCGATGATTTTAAAGACAAATGGGTACTTGAAGTTCCGGATAACGCAGGTAAAATACGTTATCGGTTTAAAAATTGCCTTACTAGATCCCTATGAGGATCAGTTTGCCAAATTATCACAAGCTAAAAAGGAACGTAGAGCCAAAAACGAGCTCCAGCGTCTCCGCAATATTGCCCGAACTGTCAAAGCGGGACAAGGTAAGTCACCAACTGCTTTTTCCAGCGAGATTGTTTGAACATGTTCGTTTGCTACCAAACTATTCACATAATTATTGACTTTCATCAAATTAAGTAAGGTTTATACTCAATAATATGCCTTGGAAAATATTTCCCAAATGCTATCTTTGTTCAAGATTTCCTACATTAAAAGCGCACGGTAAGCTGTAAGTCCAAAGGTGTACTCTGAATTGACCTCTGGAGATACCATATTTCTACTTGCAGTTATTTCAGACGAACCTATCTCAACTAATTTGAAACGTAAACAACCCAAGATATCATACACATATGTATTAATTTAAGTCATCATACCATTCAACACTAACTAGAAATCAACAAAACAGTATCTAAAAGCATTAAAAATAATAGTAATGGTAGTATAAAACTAAATAGATATTTATTAAAGTAGATAAATTCATAATAAAACATGCTAAGATTTAGGGAAAGGTAAAGACCGAGTACGTCTGTTTTCACAATGAGTGTTATTTAAAGTGCGCGTATATATTAACTATGCACTTTTTTGTACTGGATCAATCCTCACAGTCAAGCTGCGCTTTTGTATTTGGAAGTTGTTTCTGTCATATTGACTAACTCACTGGTGTTGTTCTCCATTGCTAATGCACTCCATCTAAATTGAAACGAAAATGCAGCAGAACCCAATAAGTTGACTTTCTAGATTTCTAAGATGATAGTCTAGTTTTATTAGTTAATCTGACTGAGATACTAGCCAGAGTTTGTGAGCTAGCCGTAATCCTATCTAATTGGTGTTGACTTCTGATCATCCCGTTTTGTGTCAGAAGACTAAGGGGCTCTTAAAATAACCACAAAAAATCAATTTTGGTAATATAATGTCTTGAATATTATGCTCTATAGTCATCTGATGCCTTACTAGAGTTCGTAAAAAGCAGACAAGGATAAGCTAGGCTGGTCGCAGACCCAGGCGTAAATATATTGATCAAATATTCACCCTTAGATCATAAAACATAGACATACCTGCTAATTCACAACTGCAATTGTATTTCTTGGTCTTAAGGCAGCTTTCAATCCCGTTAGTCAGCACGTTTTACGACAATCTGTTTTTGAAAGGCATCTCAAATCTCTACCCGAATACCAATAGTCGTGTTAGGTCTTATGATGAATTGTCGTCAGAATTGGGAGTTTTTATTAGTGGTCTATCAGGACTGTTCACTTTCCCCATCTTTGATTCAACTTCGTCATAGATATCCCTTTAAAGTTAATGGTTTCATCTGAGTTTTCAGACATTCATCTCCTACCAGAAGATTGAATGCTGGTTTAGAATATATATATATATATATATATATATATATATATATATATATATATATATATATATATATATATATATATATATATATATATATATATTTATATATATATATATATATATACTGCTATAAGACTTAAGGATTAAAAAACAGTAACCTTATTTTACCAGCTCCTCCTATTGGCGTTTTAACGGAATCACAGTCGTCTAAAACTGAACTGTCACGTGCTTTCGCAATTGCTCAAAACTCTGATGCATCAATGGGTCGTTTTTCTGCTCCAGTGGATAGCCGAAAACTTTCTAAGAAAGTTGAGTAAGTTTATTTTGTGTTCTGCCTAACATCTGTTTCATTATAGAAAACGATCTAAGAAAAGAATTCCACTGAGTCAAGTTGTTCAAAGTACTAAAAAGAGTAAACAGAATAAGTCAATATCCAGAACAACAAAAAAGAATAAGATGAGTTCACGCCCTTCTAAAAAGAAATAGCTTTTTTGTCAAATAGCTTCTTGTATATAAATAACTATATAAAAATACACTTTTCAGTCTATTCTCATTGTTCTTTACGTAGACTTAATAAGGAAGTTGAAACTTGTAAATTGCATTTGAAAAATGGCTTAAAATATCAGTTTGATTTAGAAATAATTATGGAATAATTCTCATATATGATTTACCTAATAATAATGCTTTCAGGATTTAAATAAGTTACATCCGCGTAATACAGTTAATTTTGTGATCTGTATGGTTGTTGGTTTTAAAAATATTTCAGGAAACCTATCAGTAAATTTACATGGATTTTTCAATGTGCAAGCAATCTCCGGTGTCATGTTAGACCATTTACTGTGTTTTGGATTTAGTCATTTCCAACATTTTCTTTTCACAAATGGTTTTATCAAGTTCATTGAACTTGAACTTAATTCTCAAGCTATGACAGTACTTTCAGCTTTTAATAATTGTTGGTATTGTGTATAGAGCACCAGAGAGAAACATGTAGTCATCGGTTGAAAACGTTCGTTGCGTAATTGACTAATATCTTTTAAATATTTTTGCAGTCTGAAATACGGCTTTTAAATCATGCCTTTATCCAGCCCGAACATCCGTAAATTAGTGAATCAAGGGTAGTAAAAGAAATGCAAAACAATCAAACAGCTTTGTCTTTTATATAACAAGTTCGGTTTCTTCTCTATACTATCTTAATTTATCGAACAGAATCATGGTGCTTGTTCACATTTTCAATACATCATGTTGTCTTTAATATTTTAGGTGTTAAAATTCAAAAAGGACTCAAAACAATGGTATTTCCCCATTTAAAGTTGCCTGATCTATGGAACGTCAAAATATCTTGCATTGTGCTGATAAGCTGAATAAGAATTACGCTTAATAATCAGGTTTTAATTTCATTAAGACTGAGTTGACTTGTGAAATTCGTATCTTTCAATTGACTTCTGATCACGTTTACTTTTACGTTCTAGTCAGGAAGTTATGTGCAATATGTACACCAGTTCAAGTTGTCATACCACATCATTATAGTGAGACAAAATTATCAAGAAAAATCCTAGTCGTGGTTGTATTAGGAAAGATTTGCTAGAGAAAAGGAAGAAAAGGTATTAGGAGATTTCGGAGCTCAGGTTCTAAGAGGAGATAAAGAGTGAGCTTACCTGAGTCACGTCACCCAAAGTCCCCTAACCATTGGTTACAATAATTACGCGGACCCCTACCAAGAAGTTTACCCATAATAACATAGCTCATTACAATTATCAGTAACTTCATGGACTGGTGTCTTATCTTAGTTGATCTCCCTTGCTTTATTTCAGCCTATTTCCTACACCAGACAACATCGTGTATCAAGTTAAAAAGTGGTTTGATGTATGTAACATTTTTCCCAATGATCTCAATTGATGAAGATTCATTACGTCATCAACCGTTCATTACTCGACCTTACGCCTAACCTCAAAATTGCTTACTATGTGGTCCCAAAACACACTTATGATCGGGTACTATGGGCTTGCGAATATTCATTGTACATCACCTATTCATCTATAATCTATCCATTCATTTAACAATTCCTAAATTTCCTTCACTATAAATCATAAAATCGCCCTCCATAACAATTATATTTTCACATAATTGTCGAACTGTTAATTCATGGTATTAACGTATAAATTTATGTAAGTGGGTCATAAGTCCGGATATACATTTGCTCACTATTACTTGGTCTATCAGATTCCACCGCTAACTCACACAAACTTCCTATTTTACAGCTTAGTCGAGAAACTTTTCATGGTTCCTGAATTAATCCAGCGGATTTAATTATCCATCGAGCATGGTGTACATCATAAGTAATTTAGCTCCGTCTATATATAAATTCACTTCTTTGAAGTAAAAAAATATATTAATATCGTTTGAGACTAAAAGTTATGTAATTTTGAACATTATAGTTATTCTCAATGCAAAACAAATTGTAACACCTACAATGCCTGAAAAGTTTGTCTCAGATTATGAAGCTAATCCTGTCTACTCTTCAGAATCTCAGATGACGTTTAAAATTATATTTTAGGAGCCTCTAAAAATTATAGATGAAAATATTTGACTTGTTTTTCAGAAACAGATCTGCTATTGTATTTGATTGACAAGAAAATGAATAGGACACCACTTTATGCTTGAAATCTTAAATAATTCCCTAAATTTGTATTTACAACTCGGATAAGTAAGCGTTTAACATTTCATGTACATACCGAACAAATAACGTATGTAGCCTTCAGATCGAAATATATTGCTCGTCTCCGGTTCTGTTTGATGAGTTGTCTTACCTACACCCTTCTCTTTGTCTAACACAACAAAGACCATTAAAGTGCGTTTTCAATCCTAAAAAACACATTCTTTGGACTAATGACGGATTTATACATGTGCCCAACATATGACTACTGAATTAAATTTTAGTAGTCAGATAAAAACTCACCATGAGTTCTGCGTGTGTCAATCCCGCCAAAAGTCGAATTTGCAATAAGTATTAGTACCAAACTACAAGACATGTTTCCTTCAGTAAATAACTCGGTTAATCTACTGACTAATCATTCTAATAAAACTATTTATAAATGTTATTCTATTTTACGATGACAGTTTTCAAAGATTTTTCAGCCCAAATTTAGTTTTGTCATGAACAGAAACCACTTTGTGAATCATTGAGATCCATCAACCACCGCACAACGAATTTGTCTCAGATAGCGACTCATTAAAAATTTTCGCATCTGCGCATGGTAAAAAATCCACAACATTCGGATTTTACAGAGAGCACAATATTTTTGCACCTTTGAACTGGAATACAATGAACCACTTTTCCAACTTCATTCATTTTGCAAAATCAATCTTTGTCGTTTTGTTGCCATCATTTTGTGATAAAAATTTCATTTGCCTTGATAAACGCTTTCCAGAAGTACTAGTTGACATCCTGATACTCAAAACTAGTGACTGTTAACACTAAATGTTTTAACGATAGTTTGTTGTGACCTCTCAGAAATCATGCTGTGAACTAGACTTTGTTATATTATTTTTTACTTGATTACTAATAGATTACACATTAGTGGTTGTTTCGAGCTAAATATTTAGTGACAGCTTTTCAAGTGATAAAAACAATCTGAATTCACGATGATTGGATTGACTATACTTAAGTAAGTTATTGATAATAAGTTACGAAAATACTGATTCCTACCGTCATTTTGTCCTGCATTAGGTAAATGTTGAATGGAGAATTAAGGCAGTTTATTCAGTGATGAAGTATTATAAAAATTTGTTCTGATAATATGCACTATTAATGGTCTCACTGAAATATGTTAAGATAGGAGGATATAATACAGGCATATTAGTATTGTATAGCCTGTTCAAGACTGCAATCTAGATTATCGTGTCACAGTGACAGAGGTTAATATAATTCTATACAATTTTTCTCCTACACAGTAAGATTCAAGTTTTAAATACTTAATAAAAACAAACGCTATTTGATGTTTTTATTTTAGAAAATGTATGGGTGAAATGGAAATAACTATATTTGAGTTTTGAGCCAAATTTCACTCGAAGCCTGATAATCGGAGCATTGATTTGTGGATATCCTGCTACATTGTATTTTTGTACATCGAATCTCACTCTCAAAATACTTGATAAATGCTTTGTGACTTTGAATGTTTTTTAGGCTCGCAATCTGACTCCATTATGAAAGAATCATGAACATAAGTTCTCTGTCTCATTTCCTTTATTCTCTTTAGGCAATAATAAAAACATAAATACGAATTAAGTTGAAAGATTTCCTTTCAGATATTCTTTTATGCAGACGAATGGACTCTATGGATCTTTTGAAGTTAATCCTCCAACAATGCCATTGTTGGTCGGATTACGGGTGTCAGATCAGATGTTACCTAGTATCCCCAAGTGTTGTAGAATGGATTAGTTTCCATAGAACGATGGGTATTAATTTTATGTTTATACTCCGTCATATCACTCAGTTTGCGAATCGATCAACGGAGCTAATACGTTGTAATCTTTAAGCGACGATTGGTATGATACCGTATTTAAATTAAAATAAATTGTTCACAATCGTGTTGAGGTTACTAATCACCCACGTATCATACAGGCTCTATGAAGCTGTTCAGGAATGAATATTTTTGGTATTTTTTGTTTAGGTAATTAATAGTTCATTTCAATCGAACGAACAAATCTGATTCAGATCATGAACCGATTGATGTTAGACCACCATTGAAAACCTGGAAGCAATGGTAGTCTAACATCAATCGGTTCACGATCTGAATCAAAAACTTAATAATCTCCACAAAATATACTGAAAATTTATCTGAGCCTGAAAAATAGTGTTATACGATTTGGTTCTCAACAATAACCGAATTTTATAAACCATTATTAATGTGAGTGATATAATGATTAACCTTAGCTCGAATATTTTTCTTGTAGTTTTATTCTTCGTCCGTGATTATTGACTTTCAATATGTACTAGATCAGACGTAGAATCTTTTTACGCAGGTTCGTTAATTTCGCATTGCTATTTTTAATAGATATTTATGACATATGATCTTTTGCTGAAATTCAGATATTAAATAATAAAGAAAGATTAGTTCAGCGAAGAGTTCTCTTTTCAGCGAATTCATTTTCAAAGCTGTACAATCGCAAATATATATACTTATTTTTACAGGGTGATAATAATACTGATAATAAACTTCTGTTATACATGGTGACAGTGAGGTTAAATAAACAAAGGTATTAGAAAAAATTTTTAAAAAAATAAAACAAGGAAAGTTTAATAAAATGTTGAAACAGAGATGAAATGTAATCGGAATGATCGTGGAAATATCAATTATGCTATCGCTGGATGTGGAATCATTATTCACTAATGTCCCACTCACAGAGACCGTTAATTTTATCTGTAAGTACATAAACAATAATGAGATAAACATTGGGATACCTGAGGTTTATTTGAAGGAACTATT